TACGAAGAGAGATGCAAGTTTGTGCGTGAAAAGGGTTTATGCGACAATTGTCTTCAATCAGGTCACCTGGCTACTACTGCCCAAAGCAGAGTTTTTGTCAAGTTTCTAACTGCAATTTGAAACACCGCAAACATTCCACCTTCCTTCATCCGAAGAGAGAGCAACCCGAACGACCTGAGCACCAATCGAGCCCCTCCACGAGCGGCACATCTTCTAACGAGCCTAATGTTCGGGCGCAGAATAGCTTCTTTGGTGTGTCAGAGGGACTGTGTTGCTCTACTGGGGCCGGAGCTCCAAGTATAGGTTTGGCGGTAGTTCTAGCCTGTGAACAGGCTCTCTGTTTGGGGGGAAAAATAGCGAGGATAGGCAAGGGAAAGGGGAGTGAGAGCCTGTAGACAAACATTTGAGACCGCTATTCTGCCCTCTTGTAATTATCCTGCCGATCATCTGTCAGTAAGATCGTTATCTGTCAATCAGTTTTGCGCGTGAGTAACTCCCGGGAAAATTAACGGGAAATGAGCGTTGTTTGCTCTGTCTGAAAACAGAGAGCCTATTCACAGGCTAAAAACAGATAAAAACAGTGAAATGAAGCGCGAGCCTCATTGGCGATTTTGTAAAAACTTGCTGATCTCCGTTAAGAGAATTAATACGGAGCCGGTCTTTGGCGTTTCAAGAAATAACACCTTGCTGGTTGACAGTGGTCAAGGCAGCGTTGTACTAGCGCAAGCATTTGAATCCTTAAGATTTCCCCTTGAGCAAGGAGAAAGCTTTTCCGATTTAAGCTGCGTTACTTGTGCGTAACAAGCCGTTCGTTCTGCTAGTTCGCTTCTAATTTAACAAGCCACTGCAATGAGCGAACTTGGAATGCGAAAGGTACAGATACTATCCTGACTTCTTCAGAACGTGACGCTTCGAAGACAAGTACAAAGAGATCAGCAATGCGTCGATCGCCGACAGAAATTACATTTTCGGGCATTTGTAGCAATAAAAGGGATCGGTAGGCATACACGACTTTTACCTCATGCCAAAGTGCTGCTTGTTCCCATAAGTTTTTTCCTCTGCCGGGTAGATTATGCTCAGGAAGGTTCTACATTTTTACTGAGCAAATGTGATTTTACACATATCCATTTACTGTGGTTTTTCTTTCTGGTCGCAGGATTTTCCCCCTGATGAAAGAGCATTTCTTTGACCTCTTTTGAAGCGTAAAGCTTTTTATTGCGGCTGAATCAGGGTCTTACTTTTCTCCAAAGTGCCTTCTGAATAACTAAGCGATTTTCTTTAGTCCGTGAATGTAATGTTTTTCTGCAATGTTGTATCACGCTGGGTCCAGCTCCTTAGTTTTCTTTGCAGAATGTTAAAAAATTATCTGGGATAGTGATAGATCCAAAATTATAAGATTGAAGTGCAGCTTAAACCGAGGCTACATGAACTATGGAGAATTGCATTGTGACCCGGTAAACTCCAGCTTAGTGTTTTCCTAAAACAGTGAAAGTCTTTTGACTGTAGCGCGTACTTCCTCCCTTGGTAATAGCTTTTGAATAAGCTTAACAGTCTTTGGACTGTTTTTTTATTGCCACTTTGTGATCAAATCGCGTGCTATGTGCCGACCGAAAAGCAGATGTCAATCAGACCTGTCAACAGTCAGTGTTCTCGCCAATAGGAGCTTGCATCAGGATCTGATGCACAGCGGGTGCCGTTAAACGGCGGTCCCAAATGTTTGTCTACAGGCCTTTTAGCTTTTCCCTCTCCCCAGTTCTGCGCTCGTCCAAAGGCCTGTTCACAGGCTACGGTAGTTCCTGTTAAAGTCAAAGCGAAGGGAAAAGAAGCTGTGGTTGAAACATATGCATTCCTCGACCCAGGTTCTAATACATCATTCTGTACTGATCAGCTGACTGAGCGGCTAGGTGCGACCAGAATGAAGACGACCTTTGTCACTGACAACTACGAGTCACAAGGATGCCAAATCTCAAAGTTTAGTGGTGTGCTTGGAAATTAGTGATCTGTGTGGAAATCACACCATCGAACTACCGAACGTTTTCTCGAGGCCAAGTCTTCCAGTTACAACAGATGATATCCCGCGCCAAACTGACGTGGATAGATGGGCATATTTGAATGGTATTCATATTCCTCATATTGACGCTGAAATTGAACTTTTGGTTGGTAATGACCCAGCTAAAGTATTAGAGCCTAAGGAGATAAGAGAAAGTAAGGATGGAGTGCCGTCCACTGTCAGAACTTTGTTTGGTTGAACAATTAATGGGCCGCTTGGCCGAATGAGCAGTTTAAGTCGTACCGCGAACCGCATCCAGTCATCCGCTAATTTGAGAACACAGTTCGAGAAGTTTTGTGAAATGGAATTCAATGATTCTCAGTTTACTGTAGAGAAAATTTTGTCCCAGGAGGACAAGAGGGCGCTCCAGATGATGGAGCAGTCCGTCAAGCTTTGTGATGGTCATTACGAAGTAGCACTCCCTTGAAAGGTCTTTCCTCAGAACTACCAAACAATAAGACGCAAGCTGAACAAAGGCTGTTATCGCTAACGAAGAGACTAGTAAGGTATCCGGAACTGCATCAGAAGTACTCTGCGTTCATGGAAGACCTGTTAGAAAAGGGATACGCCCGAAGAGCACCTGAAGATCAAGAAAAGAAACCTGGTTGGTATCTGCCACACCATCGCGTGATCCATCCTTACAAACCACGTAAAGTTAGAGTGCTGTTTGATTGCGCTGTTAGATTTCAAGGTGCCTCTTTAGATGAGCGAATCATGCAAAGACCCGACTTTACTAACACACACTGATTTGGATTCTGCCTAGATTTAGACAGGAGTCAACTGCAGTCATGGCTGATGTTGAACAGATGTTCTATCAAGTACTAGTTCCTGTTGTTCCTAGTTCCTGCAATTTTCTGCGTTACCTGTGGTGGCCAGGCGGGTTCATGTTTTTGGGTGTGTCTCCTCTCCGAGCTGTGCCAGCTTTGCCTTGAGAAAAACAGCCACTGCCAATTTTTAATTTTTAAAATTTTCTAAAACTAAACTAGTGAGCAGCACTCTGCGAACTGTTGCTGTCAAACTTGTTTATTCTCCTACGCGTTTCGTCTAACTAACGTAGACTTCTTCAGGGAGTTTTACAATCAAATCGCTATATTCAAGCCATAATATGACTAAAAATAATGATGTCGCAAACATTGAAGGTTTGGCCGGATTTACGAAAAGGAACAGGCGCAGCTGTGAAATTTTTTACGCAAGGCGTGAGAAAACTTTGGGGCCACGGTTTTGTCAAGTCAATACTAGAAGACGCCACATGGATCATCAGGAGGCAATCCGTCCTACTACTGCCAATATAGATGGCATTATTGCGCGCTGGAAGGAGCAGCTTCTGAACAACGATATGTAGAACGCAAAAGCGACCAGTCTCGTAGAGGCCGCCGTAGCATTTGTGGAACAGTTATCCAAAGACACTGCGGTCTCACGGGCTTCTAAAGCTCTCCAAGCGGAGATTAACCGCACGGCAAAAAAACAGAAGTCAGGCAAGGATGGACGATAGTGAGGTTTTCGTTCTCAGAAGAGTCTTTCAGAGATATTATTCGAAACGAACTCCGCGGTCTTGATTCAGGCACTACAAGCCCTAACGAAGAGAACCCAAAGCGGAAAGTTTCCATATCCGAAAGAACAAATAATGGCAAGTCAAAAGGCAAGTCACGTCGAAATAGATCCGAGCCCGGCAACGCCAAAGGTCAACCTCTGCCAAACGGTCTAACCCACCTCAGAGGTCGTCAAAAAACACCAGAGGAAAAGGTTTCCTTTAGCTGAGGACGAGTCCGACGAGAAGAGGATTCGCAAGGTTCTAAAAGATGTGAAAAGTCAAAGGGAAAAGAGAAAGACGGAAAGGGCTAAAAAAAGCCAATAAATTTAAGCTCGATTCTAGACGTTCCTCCCATGCTCGATCATATTCTAAGGAGTTTCCTGTTTTTTTTCCATCCATGAGCGGCTGTTACCTCTGCGGTAGGCCAGGGCACTTCTGCCGGAATTGCTATCGTTCAAGAAACTCTCCCGCTTCAGGCAGCAACGTTTAAACCCTTCATTGCTCGTTGGAGATCCTTTGGTATTTTTGCTATTGTGTATATTGATGATGGAATCTTTGCCTGCAGATCGTTATTACATGCTCAGTCCGCTAGTAAATTAGTCAGGTCTGATCTCCAGCTGTCTGGCTGGAAGTCCAATTGGGAGCTCCGTCAGTTGGGGGAGTGGTTAGGGATAATCGTTGATACAATTCGAATACTTTTTATCGTCCTGGAGAAAAAGATTGTGAAAGTCAGTTTTGACTGGTCTTATTGACGAATTTCCTAACCTTCGTGTTAGGGACGTAGCTCGTGTTTCTGGATTTGTGATTTTCCTTACTCTTACGTTGGGGCCTATTGCCAGATTATTTTTTAGACAAATGTATTTTTTCATTCAATTGCGACATTCGTGGGATGATGTACTTATCGCAGCTGAAGGGGTTTTACAGGAATTAAAATTCTTGCTAATGCATGTAGAAGCGTTTAATGGCTATCCAATAAATAGACCTTTGTCGTCTAGCGTGGTTTTAACCTGCGATGTCCGCGAATCTGGTTACGGTGTTCACATCTCTTTTGGTGGCGAACAGAGGTTTTGTTCTGGAATGTGGAGTTCTGTTGAGCGTGCTAAGAGCTCTTCTTTTCGTGAGTTACGGGCTGTTTACTTAGCCTTGAAAAGCTTTAAGAACTTTATTATTGGTAAGAAGGTTAAGATCTTTTCAGATAATCAGAACGGGTACGTATTGTACATGCTGGGAGCAGTATCATACACTTTGCAGCAGATTGCTGTCGACACTTTTAGTTTTTGTATGACTAACAGCGTGGCTTTTCAGGCCCAATGGATTCCCAGAGGTAACAACGAGCTGGCCGATTTGAGTCGCATGGTCGATCCTTATGACTGGATGTTACATCCTGATTTGTTCAAGTTGATCACATTTAAGTAGGGTGCTTTCGATGTTGACAGGATGGCGTGCAGTTACAACACTCATTTGCCTCGTTTTAATTCTAAGTTTTGGTGTCCGGGTACTTAAGCAGTGGATTGCTTTACGCAAGATTGGGGGAAAGAATGTAACAATTCTGTTTGTCCGCCCCCTCACCTAATTAGCGCAGTATTATATCACATGAAATCTTGTAAGGCTAAAGGCACTCTTGTTGTGCCAGAGTGGAAATCCGCGCCTTTTAGGCCATTGCTATGTTCTTTTGATCGTCCGTTTTTATTTCAAGACTTTGTTAAGGATTTTTGTTGTCTACCTAAATCACGTGATATGTTTGTTCCCGGTAGGGGTTCATCGTTTGTTTATTCTAAGCAAAAGGTCCGTTTTTTCGTGCATACCCAGGTTTAATGTTCTCCTCTTCGACTGGATTTCCCCTGCTAAGCGCGTTAGGTTTGATTTCTCGATTACACGTATGTTCTTTTTTATTTGTTTCTTCATATAGACGTTTTTCAAGCTGGATTGTGGTCTCAGAGGTTTCAGCCTAAGTCTAACAAGTTGACAGGCCTGGCCGACTCTCTCCCTGCTTTTGTACTTTGCTCAAAAGCCACTTCTTCCAATGTTAAGTATAAAAATGCATGGCTTAATTGGAAAAAATGGAAAAGGATAATGTAGGCTATAATCAGTCCCCCGTTTCTCCTTTTTTGTTTTGTTAATATCTCAGAGAGAAAGTTAATCATGTAATTCTCCCGCACCTATTAAGGCTGCTTTTTATGCAGTTAGGTGGGCTCACGAGATTGCCGGAGCTAGCTCTCCAACCGAATGCAGTCTTGTTAAACACGTTTTGGAAGCTTCTAAACGTTTATTGGGTAAACCTGTTCAAGGGAAACAATCTGTTGACGTTGACTTAGTCACACTAAAGTAGCAGAGAAATTTAACACTCCTCAGGCTTCTATTCTAACCTTAGAACCTGTTTTATATTTATTATTGCTTTTGCTGGTCTCATGCGTTGTGACGAAGTTACTCGCATCAACAAAAGTCATATTTCTATTTTTTCTGTCCTAAGCGTAAAAATGATCAACGTTCTCAAGGGCATTTCTTTTATTTTGCAAGGTCAGGCAAGATTACATGTCCTCTTTCCATCACTGAAAAAATGTTATCTAAATTGCCTGATAATCCTGTTCAGCATTTGGTTTGTAGACTTTCATCCAAAGGCACTGCCCTTCAACATTCTATCTCTTATTCTAGAGTTAGGGAAATTTTCCGCGCGACTGTAAGAATTTTGTCCTCCTTCAAATATAACATCAGAAAAGTGGACCTTAGCATGCTATTAGATGACAATAACTGCTCTAACTGCTCTTTTTGCACTTCTTAATCTTTTCTCTCTTACTTTTTATAAGATAATGGATACATTTGTACATATTGTATATAGTTCTCTCGAATTTCTCACTTGCTTATACTGTACATAGCTTTTCTTAATTTTAATTAATTTATTAATTTATTTATTCTTTTTTAATTTATTTTTGTGTCCCCATTTAGTGGTTATACACCGCTATTACAGTTTTGACACTTAAATAAAGGTATCATCATCATCATCATCATCATTTTGTCAAAGATGTTGACAGCTACGGCACTCGTAGCCTCAAAAACGGCGGCGCTACCGCATCAAACGCCGCTGGTATTTCTGGAGAGTTTCTGGATAGGCATGCTGGCTGGAAGTCATCCAAATCTAAGGATAGTTATATAAATGTTAGTACCAAAGATAAGTTAATGGTATCCAGAGCAATCAATTTGTAACTTTTTCGCTTTTTTGAAAGTAGACTGCTTTTTTCCCGCACGTTCATTTCTCGCGTCTTTGTTTTTTCTCTCGCGCTGGTCCATTGTGTCCATTAGGCACTCAGCAGGAGTCACACTCCATATATGTCGTTGTGTTTTCATTCGCACTTTGCGCGCTGTGCGGAGGGTAGTAATGAATAAATGCTTTTCAACGTAACAACGTGTAGTTGAAAAGCTGTTTCATTACGGTTCGTAGCATTCTTTTCACATTTGTGTCAACCTTTTGTTCTTAATTACTCAGCCTTTTATAGAGGTTATGTAACTACATTTGATTATACACTATGAATATTTGTATAAATATCGACGTAGAAGCGTTTTTGGCTATCTCGCCTTTTGGACAGCCGTTGTCTTGTCGGTGACCAAACTTATTATTAGTTCCTAAGTTAGTCGAAAGCTCTAATCCACGGAGCTCGATACACTGCATTCAATCGAGGAGTTCGTTCCCGGTTTTTTTGTCCCAATGGGTTTTTTATTCTGGGTTTTCGTACCGGGTAGTGTATCATTCCATTGATTCTACTTTCTGTCGCGTTTCATATTATTTCAATGTTCGTTTATGTAGAAAATTATATTATTTCTGTAGTTTTTTGATCTTTTAAGATCATTTGTATTGTTGAACTGTATTGCTAAGATATCTTGTCAATAAACCACGCGCTGATCTATTGTGTCCATTAGGCACCCA